AGTATTCTTATTATTAAAATATATCTGAATGAGGATCAAATGACTGAGTTGGTCTTTAAAAATGAAAACCAACCTGTTTGTTCCTGCAGATCTTCCTGTTTGACTGTGAATGTTTCTTCAATCTTCACATCTTCACTCTCCTCTTTAATAAACGCCATCTTTATAACAGTGTGTAGATCAGTCGCTTCAGCAGGAGTTTTCTCTGCGTTTGGACACTTTATCCTGTTTAAAATAAAAAAAAAACATTAAAAACGTCCTGATTAAAATAAATAAAACAATGAACAGAATCAAAATAACTTCTCTTCATTACTTGCTTTAACAGTTTCATATGAGAGTCATTAACAAAAATAAATCAGGTAAGTCTGAGCAAGACACAATGAGCTGATTAAAACTAGTACTCCATTTCTTATATATAGTGATTTATCCTTAGAATGGAATGACATTATGCTTTTTAATAAATTAAACCTTAATTAAAACACTTATTACTGACATTTCTGTTGCTTTATTCAAACAATAGCCCTAATTACTGTGATTAAATAGTACTTCGTTGTAAAAAGGGTCAAAATAATGTCAACAGCAGGTTTATAATTTAGCATCGGATGAAAACCCTGAAACTTTATTCAATCGCTTTATATTTATGTAAAGGTTTTAAAAACAAACCTTTCTCCAGCTGAATCAAGCGCAAGAGAGGCGCAGCCTAATGACGTCACACACCACGCCAAAATAAAAGTCTTTTGTTTTTAGTTTTTTGCCACTTACTGTTGCAGTCATGACTTGTTCAAACATTTCTCTCCCTAGTTTTCTACTTTACACTTGCTCTCTCTCTCTCTCTCTCTCTCTCTCTCTCTCTCACACACACACACAAACACACAATCACACAGATGTTCAGTATTTGAAGTTGATCAAAACCTTTAATCTAAACATTTTAAAACAACTTCAAAAAACGTCTTTAGAGGTCATTATCCCTAAGGGCCTTTGAGACATCAAAAAAAAAAAATAAATAAATAAATAAAGTTTAAGACTTTTTAATTTAGCCACATAGTTGTTGTATTATTTAGACATTAGACTGTAAGAAATGAATGTTGGTCAAGCTCCTGCACTTTTTACAATTAATCTACTAACAGAAAAACAGCAAACAAACCTCAAATTGTGTCAACACTGTCAAGGACAAATTCAAAGTATATCTTCATTTCAGTGTGATTAATAAATGTGTATTTTCAGAAAGGTCATGTGTCCCTTTACAAACCCAACTTTATAGATTATTTTAAAAAATCTATTCGTAATAATGAAATATTGGACAAAACATTAATTTTCAGATAAAATATGCAATCGTTGCACATAATTAAAAAAAAAAATCCAAGATTTAAAATATTTAGTAAAACTTTCAAACATTATTAACTGGCCCTTATTGGTTAATTAAGACATCATACAAGATGTTTTGCTGAGGTTATAAATAATTTGTTCATTTTCATAAAATAAAATTTGTGTGACATTCAGCAACTGTGAGACGGCGTTCTTACTACTTGTTTTAATATTTTTTTGTGGCAGTTTATCAATACTGCGTAGAATACAGGATACAGCAGTAATTCTATTAATATTAAACATTGTTCATTTATTTTACCTTTTTAATTTAACAAGTGCATGTGTAAACTTTGAAGTATAAAAATGTCACACAAATGAATATGATCAAACTTTTTATTATATATTTCACAACATTTAATACATACAGTGCACATCTAATATTATAAGCAAACAGTATAAAACAAAGTATAGACTTTATTACACACACACACACACACACACACACACACACACACACACACACACACACACACACATATATATACATATTAGAGCTTGACACAACAGGACTACACAGGGAATGACTTATTGAAGCTTCAGGCATAAAATCTACAGTGAGTAATTATGTAGCCTACTTTATTTTAATTCTTTAATAATCTATCATATACTAAAATTACATACAATTAAATGAATTTAGAGAGACAGGGAAAGCAGGTTTGAGTTAACAGAAGTCAGAGTTAGTCTCCGAATACTTACTTAAATTATGAGAAGAGAAAGAAGAAGAGGTCCTGTAGTTGTGGCATTACTCGCTGTAAAATGGAATGTTACACTTAGTGTCATTTCAATAACAGCTGTACAAAATAATAAAGTAATTTTTCATAAACATGATCTATTTTCCACACTATGGACATACTGTGTTCTGAATAACATAACTGCATTTAATATAATAGTAAATAGAGTAGTATTCTCCTTACCTCATCTAATTGTCATTTTCACAGATCAGGAATATAGCAACACTGTAATCTGAGGTGACTTTACCAACCATAAACATTCTGAAAGACAAGTTACACAAGTAATTTGAAAACAACAGTGAGTGGCTAAATAATAGAGTTTATGCAACTTACACATAATTAAAATCCAGAAATTATCAATACAAGATTACCTCAATGTGAAAACAGTTGATAGCAGATCTTTTTATTGATATCAATATTATTTAGGCATTTTAACATCAATTTATATACTTTAACTTGGTGATAGATGGGAATAGATCACCCAAACTAACAATTCTGTCATTTAGCCTTATCATTTACTTGTTCCAAACATATTTAGCTCTTTTTTCTGCTGAACAATAAAGAGGATATATTGAATAAAGCTGGAAAACTGTAACTATCTCTGCCTTTCTCATCTTTTTCCCATTTCTCTTGCCATAATCTTTTAACACCTTCTTTAATTATTGTCTTGATTTCTGATTTGTTAAGAGGAACTTGTATTTCTATTTGGTTTTATTATGCTTGCAATCTGTCATTGACAACATTATTAGACTATTTTATTCACTAGTAAAATCAGACATTTGTCATTAGCCCCTTTCACACATACAGACCTTTCCGGAAAATTACCGGCAATTTTCCGGAAAGGTTGTATGTGTGAACAGGTCCTTTTTGAAAATACCGGTAAATTTGTTCTGGCTATTTTCCAGAAAGAGAAGTTGTAACATTACCGGCAATTTGCCGGAATGCTGCGCTGTGTGTATGCAGAAGAAAGATTGCCAGAATAAGCGCGTGCACGTCTAGAACGTGCTGACGTGAGACGTCTGCTTTAGCCAATCACAACTGTCAGACGCATTTACGTCCGCGCAGTTTATGAGAATAAAAGCCTTTGAATATTTTTCCAGACACATTTAGCTGCTAGAAGTTAGTCAGATCATGTTTATATGTTCTTCTTAATGCCAACTGTTTAAATAATCATCGATGAGATGCTTATGATAAGCCGTTGTTTGTTTACCTTCAAACTTTGCGTGTGCCAGTGAAACAGCCTGCGAGCGCTTGCACACGCACATATTATGAACATCTCGACATGCGAAAGTGATCCTGCGAAAGTTGTTCACAATATTGATTATCCACAGAGTTTGTAATGTAGTCAAATGCTTACAAATACAAGCGCAGCCGTTTAAGGCTCATTAGTGGTGAATGATGTCAGAATTTACCGGTATTTTGGAATGGTTGTGTGAATGCATTTTCCGGAAAATTTCCGTAACGTCCTCACCTGTGTGAACAGCGCTTTTTTGAATATACCGGTAAAGTCGTTCCGGAAATTTTCCAGATATTTACCGGTATCACTGTGTGAAAGGGGCTATTATCAGATTATATTTAACAATATGTAGGCTAGAGTAGTTATACTGACACTATAAACATTTATTTTCATGCACAACTCTGTTCGCTATGAAAGAAAAAAAAAATCAAATGCTTGTCGTAATCATAACTCTATAATGAGATATGATCATTTAAATGAAGTGCACACTTGCGGTTTTATTTTGACTAAGTGCTAAGTGCTTCATACTTCGCGCGCAGCTCCCAAACGATCACTCTGTGCCACAAACTGAATATTATTTAAAACTGTATTACCTGTTACTTACAACATTTGCAAGTTCTGTTCACTAAAGTAAGCGCGTGGGTGTCTATTATTAAATTGAGCGCGCTCTCACGGTCAGCAGCTCACATCACGTGTGATTTTCCGGCTGCAAAAACATCATTATATGAAAACAAAAATGACATTTTCAGGTGAATTATACCTTATAAATACAGTATGTGACACTTTTAACATCATTTGGAGGTGTCCATGTCACTGAGCAACATTATATGAAACATAGAAAAGACTCGTGCAGCCGCCTTTTCTTCTCTCCTTAACTTGAAAATATGATTGACAGAATCGTAGAACTGCTGGATTAAGATCGTCAAGGGGGTTGAATCGAGATCGCAATCTTTTTTCTATTAATTTTGCTGCTCTAATCCCTAATCATAACTCCTGTACAGCAGTCCCACAAAATTCTGACACTCGATGACACTGGAATACCCTGTCAAAAAGTCTAGTGGCTGTCAATGAGCTTTTTACAGTGTCTGCTATAATGTTAATGCTGTTGTTGTGTGTTTACATTGATGAGTATGGCCACTGTGTTAAACAGTATTGTTACGATCTTATTGCCACATTAGATCATTATGATAACATGTACCTTCAGTCATTTCCTGAAGATAAATACCCAAAAATAACAACTGAAATAAGTACAGCAGTCGCGATCGTCTGATCTCATATGAAGCAAGAAATCGCGAGGACATATGATGACGTGTGCAGGTACTGTAGTGCTGTCTCAATTCTTAGGGGTAGAATTTGAAGCCCTTCAACTTAACCCTCGGTTGTAAGGGCCAAGGGGAAGGGGTAGGGGTTTAAAAATAGAATTGGGATCGGGCCTTAATATTTAATCCACATAAATTTGTTAAAAGTGTTAAGTTAACTTAATTTGTGTTGTGACAACATGAAAGAATTGTGTGGAACCCTGCACAAATATGTGCACAAATAAGGTTGTCGGTTCATAATAAGTTGAAGCACATTGTCAGATTTTGCTGTATTTGGCTTAAGCATTCTTGAGTGGCTCGCAAATGTATAGATAACTCTAATACATAAAATAAGTAAGCTGACCAAAGTTCTTACGGGCAGAAGACTTTATTGAAGAGAATTAATTGTGCAGTTCATCAGCAGTGATGTTAACTTGTCTGTCTTTAAGTAACTTAAACCAAAATACAGTCTGTGAGACACTAATTTATAACAAAGGATGAAACCCCCCTGGAGATTACCCAACTGCTTTGGTTGGGTCACATCTCCTGAGTTCCTCTAGGTCATTTGGTTCACATCTTATCAGAAGTAGATACTTGTTGCATATGAAACAAGCCAATACAATCTATTAACATATAGAGTTATTTTGCCTTCTTGCAGCCCGATAGCAACTCTCACAACCTGGTACTGGGCTGTGACCCCTGATCTACACTACAAAACAGCTGGCAAGATCTTCACCCCTCTTCAGTTGAGTTTAAATTTTCAGGTGTTCAAAGGGTTTCATTATCAGTAACTTGATATGCATTCAAGAGTTCACACTTGTTTGGCATGCTATCCCGGGAGAGACCTAAGCTCATAAGATCCTCGAGCCCTGGGCTCCATCCCGTAAGCAGGACGAGAGGGGAGTGTGAGCTCAGGTAGATCTCGATGAACTCCCCAGACTTCTTTCTATTCTAATGACAGATATAGGGTCGGCTAAAGGGAGATATAAGGCTTACTAAGAGCTCGACTATGGTGCCAATTTAATGTTCAGTTTACTTAGGTTGTGTGTTTTTGGACTGTGGGAGAACACCAGGGGACCCAGGGGAAACCCACGTTAGCACAAGGAGAGTGAGCAAACTCTGCACAAAAATGTCAACTGGTTAGCAGGGACTTTAACCTGCGACATTCTTACTGTGAGGCAACAGTGCTAACCACTGGCTATTCATTGGCTGCCGTGTTGCCCAATCTAGAAAGGAGGGGGAGTAAGGGTGGGAGAGGGATTCTTCAAGACAAAGATAACTGAGTTAAGAGGTTATTTATAGTGAGTTAGGAATCATCTGAATGGTGAATCATGTTTTAGCTAATGCAGGACCGGCCGTGGACAATCATAAGCATGTGATCCTCTTGAAAGTAGTTTATAAATAAACTTCACTTGAATGAACAGCCAAACTACGTGAAAAAGCTGCCGTTTTGAATATACTCGTGTTTGTGTGGACAAGGCCTCAATGTTGAGGACTCTCCTCTCCATTGTGAAGCTTCATGTGAGTGTTGAGGCTTCTTTTACTTTTAAAGCCCTTTCCACATTCACTGCATCTAAAACGATCCTCTCTTGAGTGAGTCTTCATGTGTTTCTTAATGGTGTCTTTGCGTGTGAGACTCTTTCCACACTGATCACATGTGAACACTATGGTTCCAGTGTGACCATTCATGTGGTTCTTGAGGCTAGTTTTGGTTGTGAAGCTCTTTCCACACTGAGCACATGCAAACGGCTTCTCTCCAGTGTGAATCCTCATGTGGTGTTTGAGTGTGCTTATATGTGGGAAACTTTTACCACACTCTGTGCATGTGTAAGGTTTCTCTCCAGTGTGAATCCTCATGTGGATGTAAAGGTCTTGTTTTTGACCAAAACTCTTTCCACACTGTTCGCAGGTGTGAGGTTTCTCCCCTGTGTGAACCCTCATGTGAACATCAAGGTTTGGCTTTTGAAAGAAACTCTTTCCACACTGCTTACAGCTGAAAGGTTTCTCTCCAGTGTGAATTCTCATGTGAGTATTAAAGCTTTGTTTTTGACTAAAACTCTTTCCACACTGTTCGCAGGTGTAAGGTTGCTCCCTAGTGTGAACTCTCATGTGAACATCAAGGTTTGACTTTTGACTGAAACTCTTTCCACACTGTTTACAGCTGAAAGGCTTCTCCCCAGTGTGAATTCTCATGTGTGCTGCAAAGTTTCCAGCTTGATAAAAGCTTTTTCCACACTCTTGGCATGTGAACTTCCCCTCTCCAGTGTGAATTCTCATGTGAGCTTTAAAGCTTTGTATTTGACCAAAACTCTTTCCACACTGTTCGCAGGTGTAAGGTTGCTCCCTTGTGTGAACTCTCATGTGAACATCAAGGTTTGACTTTTGACTGAAACTTTTTCCACACTGTTTACAGCTGAAAGGCTTCTCCCCAGTGTGAATTCTCATGTGTGCTGCAAAGTTTCCAGCTTGATAAAAGCTTTTTCCACACTCTTGGCATGTGAACTTCCCCTCTCCAGTATGAATTCTCATGTGGGCTTTAAAGCCTTGTATTTGACCAAAACTCTTTCCACACTGTTCGCAGGTGTAAGGTTGCTCCCTAGTGTGAACTCTCATGTGAACATCAAGCTTTGACTTCTGACTGAAACTGTTTCTACACTGTTTACAGCTGAAATTACACCCAGATTTGGATTTCTGAGGTCTTCCGTGTGATGAAGTCTTTTTAGTCAGTGTGGGTTTTTCATCAGTCATTATTTCTTGGGGTTTCTGAAACTGCTGTTTCTCATCTATTTCATTTTGTCCATGAGTCTCTTCTTTCAGCACCATCAGATCTATATAAAAAAAAAAAGAGTTAACTTTAGTATGAAGGCTCAAAGCGATAAGCAAGAAATGGATGTTTCACCCACAAATGAAAATAACCTTACCATTTACTCTCCATTAAGGTAGTTTTAAACATTTCCTTTATTGTGGAACACAGTAAGCCAGTGTTTTTTTTTTTCTTTTTTTTAACATCTTATTTGTGTTCAACAGGATTAAGAAACTCATAAAGGTTTAAAACCACACAAGGAAGAGTAAATGGTGAGGCTATTTTCATTTCTACATCAACTATTCCTTTAAAAGGTTCCTACAATTACCCATTTTTTACAAGATGTAAAATAAGTCTTTGGTGTTCCCAGAATGTGTCTGAGGTTTCAGCTCAAAATCAGATCATACACCTTGTAGAATATTTAATTTAGGGGTCAGAGGAAAACCAAGCTCTTTTTGTGCCTGTGGCTTTAAATGGAAATACATGTTTAGAGTTACTGAAGTTTGTCCTGCACGCTTGTGTGTTTTTTTTAGTTACATATTTGGTTTGGTGCGTTAATCTTATCGTTGCTATTATTCAAAAGAAGGTAATGATTCACACTCAATTGCTTCGTACTGTTTTTATTTTTACTTTTTCTTACATTGTACGGGTGATAACGGACAAACAGACGTTTCGGCACGAAGCCTTCCTCAGTGTGTGGCATAATTCTCTAACTCCACCCTTTTATCCCATAGTCAATCACAATGTGCAATTAGTTAGACCTAAATATAAATAAATAATAATGTTAAAATATTTTAGATATTTCTTTGCAAAAAATCTTAAATATTGTGTAAAAACAAGAGAGCTTGACTAGGATCCACACACTTTTTTCCAAAATAAACTTTCTTTAAAATAAAAAACAAATGAACAAAAGTTTTGAAAACTATAATAAACTAAATCTATGCACAACAATCTGTCCAGGTCGATGTCCTCAGCAGTAAATACATGGAGCACGTTTGAACAAATGAAGCACAAAAATAATTAAACTATTATGATAAATAGAGTTAAAATGATCTTTTTAAATGAAAAGTTTAAAGTTTTATTGAGATGGATTGTTGGTGATTGTATGAGTTTTGGCCAGGTTGGGTAACAAAACATGAACAAAGGAAAATAAAGACTTGTTTAAAAAGATTTAAGACCTACAACACAGTATTTCCGTAAATTTAAGACTTCTTAAGGCCTCAAATTTTAGGTTTTTGAATTTAGGACATTTTAAGACCCGGGTATTACATAGATCATATGTGTGAGAACTAGTAACAACTACTAAAAACAAGTTTAAACCCATAAAGAAGAATTGTGATCAACGTGACATATGCAAATGGAAAGTACTAAGCCAACACCATCACCGTAATAGCAGATATCTTCTATGAGAATACTGTAGGTCAAATATCTTCAGCTCAGTTAAACTTTTTAATTTTTTGTTTTTATTTACTTTTTATAGCGCCAGTGCTCAAGGACGCTTTACAAACAGTAAGAGAACAAGAAAAGCAATAAACTTAAGAAGGTAGAGAAAATGAGAGACTAATAATACATAAAATAATGACAAAAGACATGAAAACAAGTGATGAAAGAAACTCATTCCTGTCTTTTCATTGAGTGCTTATGTGCATTTAGGAGAACTAGGCAGCACACTCAGGGCTTCAAGATGGATTTTGAGAATGAAAACCAACCTGTTTGTTCCTGCAGATCTTCCTGTTTGACTGTGAATGTTTCTTCAATCTTCACATCTTCACTCTCCTCTTTAATAAACACCATCTTTATAACAGTGTGGAGATCAGTCGCTTCAGCAGGAGTTTTTCTCTGTGTTTGGACACTTTATCCTGTTTAAAATTAACAAAACAATAAAAATGTCCTGTTTAAAATGAATAAAGCAATTAACAAAAACAAAATAACTTCTCTTCAACACTTGCTTCAACAGTTTCTTTATATAAGAGTGATTAACAAAAAGAAATTAGTTAAGTCTGAGCAAAAAACAATAGCCACAAAAGAGAAGATTAAGACCAGTACTTCATTTCTTATATATAGTTATGTTTACTTCGAATAGAATTACATTATGCTATTTAATAAATTAAACCTTCATTAAAACACTTATTACACACTTTACTGTTGCTTTATTCAAACTTTAACAAATGTTAATTATTTTGTTTGTTTTATTTATTTTAATGTCTGCTTACAGCAACGTTGTAGCACTCTTTTGCAGGAGACAAGAATTTACTCTTGTGGACAAATAAAGTTTATCCTATCTTATTAAAACGATAGACCTTACTGTGAGTAAAATAGTACTTCGTTGTATAAAGGGTTAAAATAATATTGTCAACAGCAGGTACATTTAGCATGAAAGGAACAACCTGAAATTTAAACCAGTCGGTTTACATCTGTGTAAAAGCTTTAAAACAAACCTTTCTCCAGTTGAATCATAGTACTGGGGTGGCGCAGCCTTATGATGTCACACCACCACGCCAAAATAAAAGTCTTTTTTAAAGCTTTTTCCCTCACTTACTCTTAGTCATGACTTATTGATACATTTCTCCCTTGTTTTCCACTTTTTACTTTATCTGCTTTCTGTTTTGTATTTGTAAGACCATCACTATTTATGTCAATTGAATAAATCTATTTACAACCACTAGATATTTGCCTTCAGGTAGGTTGTTAAGTGGTTGCATTTTCTTTAAACGATTGCATTTCTTCATCCATAACTTTAACCCACATTCACTTGCATTCACTGGTGTTACCACCTCTTTGTATGTTTGAATGGGAAAACATCAAATTCTCCAAAATTGCCAGCCAGGTTCCAACCTATATAATATGTTGTAGCTTATTTGGGCTACAGTCCATTTGTCAGGATAAAAACAATATTTATAACCAAATAAACAAACAAACAAAAAAGTTCCCATAAACAAAAAAGAAGCTTTTAAAAATGACTGAAGAACTTAAGACAGCGTTGAACAATGCATCCACGCATGTTTAGATTTTACATTTTATAATGTTAGCATTTAGATATTATTTGAGTGTAAATTCAGAACGTGCAACTCACCTTTTCAGTCTTCAATGAAGAAGTGGGATGAAAAAATGGTTGTTGTTGGTAATAATCCCAATGTAGGAATCTACAATAGTAGTTTGTCCTCCAAAGTTGTTCTCTTTACTTGGCGAAATAAGCCAATGAAGATTCTCTTAGGAACGCAGAATATAAAGATATCACCCTGCTGAGCTACAGGATCTGGAATGTGATTGGATAAGACTCAATTGGCCCCCATTAATGCTGGTATAAAGACGCAAATGAGCAGTGAAGACTCAAGACACATACAGTGGGGGATGGGAAGTCCAGCAGCTTTACAAATCATAGTTTTACATAGAAATAATGATGTATTGGGAAAATGAGTTGACTTTAGCCATCACTATTTGTTTTGTTGCTGTTGTTTTATAATACTATTGATTGAAGCGTTTTTATTTTGGCTGCTGCATTTTGTAGTTAATGTTGATACACCTATGTTGAGGTACTTTGATTTGAAACACATTTCAATTTATCTTTTCCAAGCCTGGTTAAAAGGTAATGCAAGAGTTGTGTGTTGTTTTTTTAGAAGCTTCTCAGAGTTTTGTGTGAGTTTAGAGTCCTTTATTTCTCTTAAAGCACATGCAGCTTATTACTGGCTTCTGTGAGACAGTCAACACACTCTTACCAGGTCAATTATTTCTTTCCAAAAGTCTCTATAGATTTGAACAATCAAAATGTAGCTTGTTTCTGTGCCAATTTTGTTTTCTTTCCTTCGTTTTTTAGTTGAACAGAACATGTGTGAGCAGCTCAGCTTTCGCAAAAGCCTCTTATTCACCTGATAGGTAACAAAGATGTTTTTCCCTCTATTTATCATTTGTGTTTGTGCATACAAATATGCATAGACATTCACAAAAGCATATATAAGATACCCTGTGACAAAAGCTTTTGCTTTTAACACAGTAAAGCTATCACATACTGTCCATTTTTTTAATATGTCATGCATCTAAATATTTATAATCACAAAATAATTACATCACAAGGTAATTTATTGTACAGGCAGTTTATACAGGGTAATGCAATGACAAGAGTTCATTTTCATAACTACACAAAGCAGAACTTTTAATGTGATTAACCTGCTCCACCTACATCAACTACAGCATTTCTCAGACTTCTGTTTCACTATGGTGTAATTACAGTGGTGAACATCACATAAAACAACAACTGCACTTACTCCTGTAACTTGTTTGCAACAATGACATTTAAATATCTGTGTCACATATTCATTTAAATAAATGGCTCATCATTGTGTGCGGTCATCTTTAGTAATAGCTGCCTGATCTTTTACTGAATAGGGTCGTTTTACATATAAGAAACCTGTTAACAGGTATAGCTGTTAATGCCAATACCAACTTGATAGCCTAAAGCATATTACATGAACAAGACCTGCCTTACATCTCTTAGGACAGTGGTTCTCAAACTGTGATATGTGTACCACTATTGGTACGCAGGCTTCCTTTTAGTTGTACACAGAGGAATGAAATATGTCATGTACATGCTACACACATTTCTAAATTTATCAAAAATGATGTATATAATATGCCTATATTATATATAGCCTATATTTCTGAGGTAATCTGCCACGTTTTTTTTAACTGTGCAGAGTTGTAGCTGCTTTACTAGGCCTACTACTCTACTGTATTTCAATACTGCTCATTTTGGTGGTACTTGGAGAGACAATGTTTTTCTGAGGTGGTACTTGATGAAAAACGTTTGAGAACCACTGTCTTAGGACAAATAATCATAGGTGTCTATAACAACACATGCTTGATTGCCCAGATCATTACAATCAGTACATCTGAATGGTGCCTTTTAGTAAGCATAGTTCTTCACCGATACCAGTTTAATACTTTATATAATTACACATGTGAGGCATCACAGTGGTGCAGTGGGTAGCACAATCGCTTGACAGCAAGAAGGTCGCTGGTTCGAGCCTCAGCTGTGTCAGTTGGCATTTCTGTGTGAAGTTTGCATGTTCTCCCAGTGTTCGCGTGAGATTTCCCCCAGGTGCTCTGGTTTCCCCAAAGTCCATAGATGTGGTATGCATGCGGTGTGTGTGAATGAGTGTGCATGTTTCCCAGTAATGGGTTGCAGCTGGAAGGGCATCCGCTGCGTAAAGCATGTGCTGGATAAGTTGGTGGTTCATTCCACTATGGTGACCCCAGATTAATAAAGGGACTGAGCTGTAAAGAAAATGAATAAATATATATGAGTAATATATCACACGAGTATCAGTGCGATGTGGCCTTCTATCAGTTTTTTGTATTTCTGTTTGTTGTATCGGCCTGTTGTTATTGCAATAAAAAAAAAAAAATGAATCATTTTTTTTTAAAGTGTGATGTGGCTGTAGATGAGCACTGGTGGAAGGCATGTGTTATATTGTACACTAGGCACTCGAGAACGATTGTCCCTTTACCTGTTGTTTCAATCCCCTGACAACTTTGTTCATCTTCAGAGCTTCTTCATCTGTTATAGACAGCAAGAGTCCCGAGATGCTCAAAGTCCAGAAAAGGAACCAAAAACATTGTCAAAACATGTAACTTTAGTGGTTCAATTGTAATCGAGTTCCAAGAACATTTTGTGTGCAAGAAAATGTAGAAAAAAGCAGCCATGTCCAAAGTAGGAACTGTTGAAGCATATAGTGGCTGTTTTTGCCTCTGTATTCTCTTAATTTGCATTCAGCAGAAGAAAAACAAATTTGGAAAAAGTAGAGGATGAGTAAATGACAGAATTGTGATTTTTATGTGAACTGCCCCTTTAATGCTTCTGTAAGTAAAGGTAAATTAAATATTACTGAAGATATTGCTAAAGAATGGCAGGAAACGTTGAACACAGTTAATAAGAGACGACAATTTATGTGGAAAAGAAAAGAAAGTCTATATAGGCCTATGAAGATGTAGAAATAGAAAAGAAGAGGTCATAATTTATGAGGATGAGATTTGGAGTCAGATATTAATAGGAGTTGTAGACATACAAATCATCATAAAGTGGATTTAAAAAGTTAAGAAAATGTTTAGATTAAAGGTTTGTGTGTGAGAGAGCAAATATAGTGTAAAGTGAAAACCATGGGAGAACTGTACCAATAAGTCATGACTGCAACTGTAAGTGGTAAAAAAGCTAAACAAAAAAAGACTTTTATTTTGGCGTGGCGTGTGACGTCATCAAGTGGCGCCGCTTCAGCGCTGTAATTCAACTGGAGAAAGGTTTGTTTGAAAACGTTTACAGTTATAAACCGATTTAAAGTTAAAGTTCTAAAGTTTTAGGGTTTTATACGATGCTATATTATGTTCCTGCTGTTGGAAATATTATTTTAACCCTTTATACAACTATTATAGTATTTTAGTAGTACTATTTATTCTCAGTAACTGAAGGCTGTCGTTTGAATAAAGTAACAGAAAAGTCTATAATAAGTGTTTTAATTAAATGTTTCACCTGATTTCTTTTTGTTAATTACTCTCAAATAAAGAAAACATTGAAGCAAGTGTTGAAGAGAAATTATTTTGTTTCTGTTCATTGATTTATTTATTTAAAACAGGATAAAGTGTCCAAACACAGAGAAAAACTTCTGCTGAAGCGACTGATCTCCACACTGTAATAAAGATGGCGTTTATTAAAGAGGAGAGTGAAGATGTGAAGATTGAAGAAACATTCACAGTCAAACAGGAAGATCTGCAGGAACAAACAGGTTAGTTTTCATTTTCAAAGAACAACTCTGTCATTTGATCCTCATTTACATATTTTAATAATAAGAATAATAAATGAAATCCATCTCGCAGCCCTGAGTGTGCTGCCTAGTTCTCCTAAATGCACATAAGCACTCATTGAAAGACAGGAATGAGTTTATTTTGTTACTTGTTCTCATGTCTTTTCTAATTCTTTTATGTATCATTAGTCCCCCATTTTCTCTACCTTCTTGAGGTTATTGCTTTTCTTGTTCTGCTGTTTTTGTAAAGCATCCTCGAGCACTGACGCTATATATATATAAAAAAAACAATATTAAAAAAGTTTAACTGACGAAATTTGACCTACAGTATTCTCATAGAAGATATCTGCTATTACAGTGATAGTGTTGGCTTAGTATTTTCCATTTGCATATGTCAAGTTGATCACGATTCTTCTTTATGGGTGTAAACTTGTTTCTAGTTCTCACAGATAGTGTCTGAGTTAGAATTTCATCATTATTATAATAACTTAATACCAGGGCTATTGAGTTTAAACAGGGTTTCCGCTGGGGTCTTAAATTCTAAAATCTAAATTTTAGGCCATAAAAGTCTTTAAACGTTTTATTTAAAAAGGCCATTTTAACTCTTAGCATAATGTTTTAATTATTTTTCTTACAATAAAATTTGTTTAAATGTGCTTCATGTGTTTACTGCTCAGGACACTGACCTTGACATATTGTTGTGCATAGATTTAGCTTATTATAGTTTTTAAAACTTTTAAAACATTTGGTTAATTTTTTTTATTTTAAAGAAAGTTTATTTTGGAAAACAGTGTGTGGATACAAGTAAAGCTTGCTTATTTTTACACAATATTTAAAATATTTTGCTAAGAAATGTCTAAATATTGAATTATTAAATGTTTTCAATTATTTCTTTTTTTTGATAGGGCAAACAAAAATATTTTCCACCTGGGCCATTTGAAAAATTCTTTAGCCTTTAGCCCTTTATGAGTCTAAAAATTCAGTCAAAACGATCTTAAAAAATGTCTTTAAAAGTCTTAAATTTTTCTTGGTGAAACCTTAAAGACCCTGGTTAAAAGTATGTCAAAAATGTTAATTTCTCTTTGTTTGCCAAATATTGTATAAAGAGAGCAAATTCACTCTGAATAATTGTTTCTTTGGTGTTTTAATCGCTGGTCAAATCAGTATAATAGGTTTTGCCCCATTAAGTTGTTTAAACAATGTTTTATCACAAAAGGAGCACTGAATCGGCTTATGCCTCTCAACTATGGTGAGTTTTTTTCCTACAGTGCATGCTGGGAACTATATATGAATGTTTTATAATTGTCTTAACATGCTCTGCAGCTAAACAAAAAAACATCTCTAACCACTGTTGAGATAGATATGCTGATTATTGATGTCTGTCTCTAAAGTGATTCGAATGCTCAATGTGTTTTAATTTAACAACACAGCTTAAGTCCATTCTCTTGAAAAACACTGAATTTGGTGTCTGATATGATAAACCATCAATTACACATAATTTGGACTGTAAAACATAATCTCTTATTGTTCTTTTCAAGAGTAAGAATCAATACAA